ATATAATATATTAAAGCAGCTTCTATTAATTCATTAATTAAAGCACATATGCAGAACACGTTTAGTTCAATGTTAGTCATGAACATGAAGTCTAATCAACAATCGCAGCGTATTTATACAAGAGCCCACCCATTAATACATGCCATATAGGGGTGGGTTATATTATATTGTGATTATATCACAATGATAGACTGACACAGAAAATCTATTTGAATTGTGGAACAGCAACCTCACTGTAAAAAAAAAAAAAGGGAAAATGTCAGAATTTCTGTCTGTCCATTTTTGTGGCTATATTGTAACATTATTATTGGCATTATTGTGGGTAATATGCTAAGAGCGGTCAATGCACAGACTATCACTAGGTCTGTTTATGTGCTCTCTGAGATGTTTTGTTTGCTCAAACTAAAGAACAGCAGAAAAGTCATGCCAGTAGAAAAGGCCTGGTGTTATAGATACTGTGGTCAACTCCTTTGAACATTCTTCCTAATTCCTTTCTTTTCTAATTTCTCAATCTCTACCAAATATAAAGCACTGATGACAAGATGCAACAGAAGGCCAAAAGGCCATTAAATACATCTAATAAGACTTACCTTTCCATCAAACACCATACTGTATCCTTCCCTGTCCTTAATCTTGTTGTAGAGATACTCTGAAAGCTCCAGGCATTTGTCAATCTGAGCCTCAAAACCAATAGTGCCCTTTAGAGAAGAAGAGAGAGGATGAACATTGTGATAACACAATAAACCTCACTATACAACCAAACAATTTGGATGAACTACTGTCCCAAATGCCTTATAGCAGTCGTTTAAGGCAGGCCAGCTGCCCAGTAAAAGTGCTGATAGTAAATGTTCACTTTTCATGGGAATGGAATACTGGTTTACTAGTTTAATTCAGTGAATGGCATCCAGTTATCTTGGTTATTTTGCATTTTTAATCCACTTTTGTGTAAACAGCTTAAAATTTGACAGTCAGTTGTAATTACTTCCATTCATTACACTAGAAATGGTCTATTCGGGAGTATAGTGTTGTTTACTGCATATTTGGCAATTGTATTCATACAAAAAATGTATATACTGTGCACAGTGCACATGCTGCAGGAGCAATAATAAAAATATGACATGCTTGCAGTACAATATCATATTACACACACTTAAAATTGCAAAATTCTGAATACTACTAGAAACTTTACAAGAATTTGTCTGAACTCTTACTCATGTTATCTCTTGCAGCTGTAAGAACACAAAACGTAAATCTGAAAAAAATAAATCTCTACAATACCTTAGCTCTCCACATTAGCCATAGTTTGAAGATGTCCACATGGCGGCCGCACTGCAGGGCCTTGTCCCCTGTGTCATAGGACAGATCATAGTGCTTGTCCTGCTGGAACAGATAACAGGCCTGCATCTGATTGCAGCTCTGCATCAGACCCTGAAACACATAAGACAAAAAGGGCAAACAATTACAAAAAATAAAATACCTTGACGTTAGTCCATTAAAAGTCATTTAAAAAGTTGTTAAGGAATGTGTCTTTAATTTTGAGAAAAGCCCCAAGCAGCATTTGCTGGCAGGTGTCACTAGATCACACTTTTTTAAAGTTTGACTTAGTGGTTTAATACTGGCCTCTGTAATAATACGATGTGCTAATATGTTTTGGTTTTAATGAAGAAAGCAGACAGTCTCACCTCCTCTCGAACCAGCAGAGCCGAGCACTGCAAGGGTACAGCCATCATTTTATGGGGGTTCCAGGTCATAGAATTAGCCCTAAAATTGGAAATAATTGAAATTCCAAGACATTGTCCTTGAAATAGATGAATAGCTATACAATCACTTATTTTGATTCAGACAAGATTTCTCCCTTAGGCACTGTGCTGTGCAGTGAAAAGAAAAACGATCAAATCCATTTAATTTTATAAGGGGAAACTTTTCACACAGAAGTTTGTGGACTTCTCAATCATATTTTAGTCACGACTACTCTCTGAATGAATTTAACAAGCATTTATTGATAAAAATGAGGTGTACATTAGGTGTGTTTGGTCTTGGCTGACTAGATATGCTACACTACTGAGCAAGTACAAATACTTGCTCTGTTAAACCTGCTTCGACATAAAGATATTAGGAAACATTCTAATGCAAAAGGTAAAGAAGAACCCCTCATAGCAGATCTAGACAGGTGGTGCTGGGGAGGAGGAGGGCTAAAAATGAAAATTCTCATAGCTTGTGCAGAGACCGTGCACTGGCTAGCTTAGTCAGGATATAAAAGAGTTACACAGATGAAGAAGCGCAGCTGATAGGCTGCTGTACTAACATCGAGAGAACCACATTTGCTGGCAGGTGTCACTAGATCACACTTTTTTAAAGTTTGACTTAGTGGTTTAATACTGGTCTCTGTAATAATACGATGTGCTAATATGTTTTGGTTTTAATGAAGAAAGCAAACAGTCTCACCTCCTCTCGAACCAGCAGAGCCGAGCACTGCAAGGGTACAGCCATCATTTTATGGGGGTTCCAGGTCATAGAATTAGCCCTAAAATTGGAAATAATTGAAATTCCAAGACAATGTCCTTGAAAGAGATGAATAGCTATACAATCACTTATTTTGATTCAGACAAGATTTCTCCCTTAGGCACTGTGCTGTGCAGTGAAACAAGTCAAAAGAAAAATGATCAAATCCATTTAATTTTATAAGGGGAAACTTTTCACACAGAAGTTTGTGGACTTCTCAATCATATTTTAGTCATGACTACTCTCTGAATGAATTTAACAAGCATTTATTGATAAAAATGAGGTGTACATTAGGTGTGTTTGGTCTTGGCTGACTAGATATGCTACACTACTGAGCAAGTACAAATACTTGCTCTGTTAAACCTGCTTCGACATAAAGATATTAGGAAACATTCTAATGCAAAAGGTAAAGAAGAACCCCTCATAGCAGATCTAGACAGGTGGTGCTGGGGAGGAGGAGGGCTAAAAATGAGAATTCCTAGAGACCGTGCATCGGCTACAGAATACTAAAGAATTACGTAGATGAAGAAGTGCAGCTGATAGGCTACTGCACCAGCGCCGAGAGAACCAATCAGTGCATGGATAGTGTTTCATGATTTAGCAAGACATTTAGTCCATAGGAACTGCAGATTGTACTGACCTCTCGACTCCATTCAGCTTCCACCGATGTTTCCGGGACATTAGCAAACTTCCGCCCCATGCTCCCTGTATACACAAAGAGACAAAAGTAATTTTAAAAGCAAACAGAAACATGTACGTCTTTCTCATTGTAAAAAATGAGGTTTAATCTTGAGATACTAGATACAGATGTATGAGATCTGACCCAAAGTATCTTGATCTTTATTATAATTCTAAAAGTAGATATTGTAGTACATTTGTTTGCAGTACATTCAGCAATATATATATAAGGACATACTATTCTCAGCCCATTTGAGACCATAGAGCTGCTGCCTTTAGGTCAGATTAATGTCGATGAGTGGATTCAAATGCAATGCAAGTGTTTCAGCTTCAACATGCCACCATAATATGTCTGTGTTGCCGTAAAAATGCCAGCGGCGACAGCATCACCAGAGAAAAATGAATAATAATGAGGAATAAGATATCGCTATTAATCTGGTCAGCCCCATGAGAATGAATACACACATGTACACACTCACACAAAGTGAAGGTAATTCCTCTAATAGGAAACATTTAGATGAAGCTACAATTCTAAAAGAGGCCATTTAATACATGCTTGCTAAATTCACCCTATGCCACCTTTCAAACACAGCTGGTTCAGCATTAACAAATAATTTTTCCATTTTCCCGTAGATTATTTTTATGCAAAATATGCTGCAACCAAAAATTCTGGGTGGTGGTAGGGCTAAGTGTTTCTTTGCTAGGCGAGGTGTTCTGAGTAGTTTCTAGTGAATTGCTAGGTGGTTGCTAGGGTGTTCTTGTTGGTTGCTAGGGCACTGCAATATGGTTGCTATGGTGTTCTGAGTGTTTTTTTTTATTACATTACTAAGCAGTTGCTAGGGTGATGTTGTTCTGGGTTGTTACTAGGGCATGGCTATGCAGTTTCAGATTGGTTGCTAGGAAACTGCAGTTTTTAAGATGTTCTAGCCGTTTTTTAGTATTCAGTTTACTTTTTCAACTTAGTCTAACTTAGTGTGTAATGTTGCAGTTTGAGCTCGGACTACAGCGCGTTCTTGTGAAGTCATAAATTCACTCACTTAAATAATTCCCTCTAATGGAATACGCAAAAAAGGAGACGAGGCCTGGTTAAGCTGCGTTAGAGTCCATAGACTGTTAAAAAAAACCACTCTGAAACGTCCTGTTAAATCCATGGTTGCAAAGGTTCAAGAGTGAAAACCTATTCTAGTATAAACCAAAAACTAAAACCTATTCTAGTACACACCAGGAACTAAATCAAGACTTCGTAAAAGGGCATAATAGAACCCCTTTAAGGGCTCTAATGGAGTACAATTTAGAAGGTCCTCAGTTCTGCATCCAAAGAACAATACTTCAGATGTGCCAACACTGAGATCACTCTTGGATCCCTGTCCACTGTCTGTATTGCACAGATGAAACATTCAGGAAGTTCACGTAAGTTCAGGCAAGCAGATCTACTCACATCCACATGCATCCAGATATCATGCTTCTTACAGATGTCCGCTATAGCAATCAGGGGATCAAAGGCACCATAAACCGTGGTGCCAGCTGTGGCGCTGACAAAGAACGGCACATATCCCTGTGAGAAAGAAATCAGTGCATTATTCAAGGGCCCATTTTGCCAAAGGACCACAAAGATGATTTAAACAGACCCAAAAGAGATACGTTAGGCAGTCATGGAGACACGGTCATTGAAATTACCTTCTGCTTGGCTTCAATAATTCTCCTCTCAAGGTCGGAAGGAATCATTTTACCCCTAGAAGAAATGCGAGCAGTAAAGAAGTCATATGGTTTAGTGATTATAATGTTAAGACTTGCATTTCTCAATTGTGCAGTCAGGAAGAAATGCATCAAGTAGTGGTAATTCAGATTAACCTTTCATCAGCTTTAATACAGATGACACTTTCTGTACCAATTCCAAGTGCGGCTGCTCCTTTCTTGATTGAGAAATGGCAACAGCACGAAGACTGGAGCCACCTCATAGGTGAACCTGTTTGCACAGAGATCACGTGACCCAGTTGCACAAGCCAGAAAAAAATGTCATGACAAGCAAACATCATGTTTAGCAACTGAGGGGATTTTGCAACGGTCTGCAGGTTCTCCAGCAGTGTGTCACTGTCAGCTTAAGACAACTGTGGAAATGTAATTATTTCTGACAAGACATGAATTAAAAAAAATAATAGTAATCTAAAATATTTAACGTTTGATTTCTAAAATAACCAATAAAACAAAGCTGAATAAACATGTTTTCCTCCACAAACACTGTTACTTTGTTATTACAATGTTATTACATTGTATTAAGAATCTGTTAAATTTAAACTTTAATTCCCAACATAAAATGATTGTTCTTATTAGCCTGAATGTACATTTCATTTCCATCTCATTTTCTCTCTGTGAATTGCACAAGATGAGAGAGTGGAGGTTATATTTGCTGGTCTTAATGCATCAGCCTTATTCAGCCGTTCAACTGATATCTGCGAGGGTATGCCAGCCACCACAAAGACCAAGCCAAAATGTATGAAGGCAGAGAAATCTACGGTGGTAGAGAAGTGCAAAACAAATCATAATTCTGAAAACAAAATAACAAATTACAAACGCAAATGCAAGTCTAAACAACAAAATAACAATTTAGAACAATTCGAAAAGCCAATGACTCGCAGTTATCCATCTGCGCCACTGAAGCTGATGTTTTACAGCCACTTTTAACTACATGTAAATATACACTTCGTATTTTTTATTCCATAGTAAGGGCAATTCATACAATACATTTAAACTGAGCTACTTTAATACCATCTCCGAACTTTCTACCATGACTCTGCTGTTCTTCAGCTGGTTCTTCTCTGTATACGTTGATTGACAGATGTCTCGTCCAGTCAGCGATGAGTAATCCCAAACCAATGGCGCTGTCTCAAACGATTTATTCTATATTTTTACACACATAAATGTCATTTTAAAAATTGTTTTGGAAATGACATTTAAAAATAAGTATTATAGAGACGACGTGCAAAATCAAGATATATAGGTAATACAAATATAGGCCTATTACAACGCTTTTTAACGAATAATGCAGTCTGAATGAACATACCACAAAAACTAAAATAACTGGACATACATTTAAGTCCAATATAACCAACCATGAAACCAGCACATCAAATCAAGTTGGCCTTTTTTTTCAGTTGTGATAGCGATGTGATTGTGCTTTACCTGTTGAATAGAGATCAGAGAAAAACAGGGTGGCTTTGGAGCAGTTACAGGGTTTATTACAGCCGCAGCTCTCGGCTGTAGACCCATCTTCTGCTTTAACTGGAGCTTGAGCTGTTTTCTCAGCCTCCCCGACATTTAACAGAGCTACAGAAGAAACGATTACTCTATTAATAATAATAATACTAATAAAAACTGCATCTCACACACTGTATGAAAGAGTTACTTTTTTATAACTGCAACTAATTCGTTTCAGGCCTTTCAGAGTCTAGATTAAAATAAAAAAAGACAGAAAGAAAGAAAAGAAAACAAGCTTTAAATGTTCTTTAATGATACTGATCATATATAACCATATGCATGACAACACTGTTCTAATCTCGCGCTGCTTACAACCATAACATCTTTTAGGAAGGATACAAATAAAGATTGTAAATTTAGATGTTAAAAATAAACGTACCACATAATTTGGAGCCGATGCCTCCGGGGAATTTCTGGGCCGCCGCCTGACACCATGCTCTGGCTGAAACGATCAAGCGCGTGCGATTTGAACACCATATCCATCATACAACTTCCATTAAGAACACCAATAATCCATGGCGCGGAACTGGCCTTAAAATACCGAACTAAATGCTGTTGTTCATTATCACACGACACAGCTGACATGAGATTTCAAGGTTTTAAATGAACCTTGGCACAACAAATGTCGCATTTCTTTGTCTCACAGCCACTAATACTTAAAACACAATCATGCTGCACATTTTCAAGCTTCTTTTTTGAACGCCGTGTCACTTACGAGTGTTCGGGCTTTGACTGCCGTTTCCAGACGCGTTTTCAGCACCCAGAAACCAAAACCCGTGAGATGCCATCGCGAACAGAGCGGATCAGAGCAGCGACAGAGAAACTCGAGCAGCAGCCATCCAGACGCGCGTCAAGGGGGAACGGGAGCTGTCCGCAGCCGTGGTGCTGAATCCTGCTCAACGCGCCGGAAATCCAGTTGCGTGCGCGATGTATTTACAGTCACACCTGCCCAAACGCTTCAAATCAAGTGCTTTAACTGCTAAAGTGCTCTTCAAAGATATTCAAAGCCCTCCGATGGAGAACAGTCGAGACAGAGCGTCTATATTCAGGTGGTGCGCCGTGCGCAATGATTTGGAGCAGCTGGAGACCGTCACTGAACTCATGGAGAAACGCTGGCACTGATGGAAACACAGGCATCCAATGGCTCTCATTCTCTTTCACATATCTCAGCTGCAAATGCAAGTTGAGTGTGCACAGTACATTTTAAAAAGCACTTCTTGCAATACGTTGCGCGAGCTCTCCAACATGCAAACTTGCAACTTTAGTGGTAATAAAAGCTTCTTGTGGCGTAAAGATAATCCGCTTCACGTCACCAAAGAAATTCCGACGCGATTCAGGTCATGACGAACTATTTTGCGTAGTTAATCGTGACCACACACACTAATCTACGCCCCTCCTGGCGCACCACCCGCATCTGTGCTGAAGGCACAACAGTTTTTTTGTTTTTTTTTAGATTCTGTAATTTGCTTTAGTCCAGCAGTGAGCAGACTTCATCAGAAGCAGGAGGAGCTGCTCCATGAACCATGGCATTCAGATCTGCGGTCCACATCCATGCCCGTTTTTTTATAATTAAACCATTTCTAATTAAAAAGGAAACTGGAGACCCAGTTTCAGACCTGAACGGGAAAATCTATAATTAATAAAAGCATTACTGTGAATTTATTTATTCACAATACCATTCTCAATTGTGTGTGGCGATCGTGCGCAATGGCACATGTCATTTATTTCGCATGCATTTAATAAAATGAAACCTTAAATAAAGCAAAAAGTAATTATAATGATACTATAGTATGTAGAAAATAACAGGGTATACAAAATAATAATAAAGCAGAAAATAAGCGTTTTTTTGCCCACTTACATTAGATTGGTGAGGAGAAAACGAGAAAAATCACATAACCCAGTTTCAGACCTGAACGGGAAAATCTATAATTAATAAAAGCATTACTGTGAATTTATTTATTCACAATACCATTCTCAATTGTGTGTGGCGATCGTGCGCAATGGCACATGTCATTTATTTCGCATGCGTTTAATAAAATGAAACCTTAAATAAAGCAAAAAGTAATTATAATTATATTATAGTATGTAGAAAATAACAGGGTATACAAAATAATAATAAAGCAGAAAATAAGCGTTTTTTTGCCCACTTACATTAGATTGGTGAGGAGAAAACGAGAAAAATCACATAGAAGAGCAGGTCAAGGGAGCTGCATTGGAAAAAGAAGAAATTATATATATACAGTATATGTGTGTGTGCTGCTCAACGGCAATCCGTGTGGACACTATAAAATCAGCATCAGACTAAAATACAAACAAACATAAATGGATTTATTCTATCGGTTATGAAATTAAATTCATAATTTATGTTTGGAACCTGCGTTTAATATTATCTACATCCCTTAACCATATTTCCATTTCATCAGTGTTACCTAAACATTACTATTTTATCCAGAACATTTTAATATCATATAATGCATTTTACATTCTATCATATAATGTTACTATGTTGTTAATAATATTACATTTTCATATAATGTATTAAGGACACATAAACGGAATGCGCATAAGAAAGAAAAAAAACGTAATAATGAATAATATAATTATCATATTTTATAGTAACTTTAGTCTGCTCTGGGTTTAACATCAGCCATTATGTACATTTTAAGCATTTTACCATTTAATTAGACTGATTACAGAAATAACTAAGTATTTAGAAAATCATATTTACAAATAAGAGACATTTCAAGAATACACATATCCATATGTATTAAACAAACAAGTATATATTTAGATACAATTTAGATACAGTGCAGATACAAGTGGGGCATTTTTATAATGCACATGTTATTGTTTATGCAGAAACAATTCAAATATAACCTAATTGGTGCAAATATAAAGGTCAATATATGAATGTATTTAAAGACAAATCTTTATTCACAGAGAGACTTGCACAGAATGCATCAACGCCCAGCAAACATCAACTGCTAAACCTGAGTTAAAAATCAAACAAGGGCAGCACAAAAGTCCTGTCACCATCAGCTCTTTGGCGCCATCCATAAAAACATAATTTCTATCAATTTAAGTCTCTGATTAGTCAATTAGCATTACATTCTGTACAGCAAAATGCATTAAGTAGTCATTATTTACATAACTACTTAAACTAAAGTCAGCGCTTTCTGAAATAATGCAGAGGTTCTTTGGGAAGCCAAACCAAAATGGATTGAAAACATGATGCATTACATAAAGAAACAGCTCCCCCCCCCCAAAACAAAAAAAACCAAAAAACTATCTTAACCTCCAGTGAGCTGTACTGGATCACTGAGTTGAGTCCGATTTGTGAAAGAATCATCTTAACTAATTCAGACCTGACTCAAAAGAATGATTCTTTGATGAATCGATCATCACTTTGTGCTCTTCTTGACGATTAAAAGCCTCAGATTATTGTAACTCCATGGAAAAGAGCGGGTGGTACATTATTAAAAAAATCTCCTTTTGTGTTTCATACAAGAAAGAAATGCATATGGGTTTGGAATGACATAACGGTGAGTAAACGATGCCAGAAATGAAATTTTTTGGTGAACTCTTCCTTTAAGGACAAACAGTTTTTTGCTGACCTCGTCAGTCACCGACAGTATTTACAGAAGTTGTAAAGCTTGATGATTAGGGCTGTGTTAAAAGCCTTCGTCTCTGGGAGGTCTTCCTCAGTATCTTTCTGTAGTCATAAGGGTTGTCCTCACTTTGACTCTCTGTAGAGGGCATTCTAGAGAACGAGTGCCTGTGGACAGAGAGGGGCAGATAAAGCGTGACTTCACATGGAAATGAAGATGCAAGTGAGAAAGGGAAAGAAATCTGGGAGCTTTTTACGTCTTGATATCTGCATCTTCTGCTCAAACACATTTATCATGTCTGCCCTGCTGTGTGCTGCACTGAGGTCAACGGTTTGAAGATGGTATTTGTTAAACTCACAGAATGATGCAAATGTGTAATGTTCTTTCACCTCTTCTCCGTTGGGCTCTTAGGGAGATCGGATTTAGGGACATCAGACAGTGGTCTCTCAGAAGAGCGTGTTCTTTCAGTGGATGATCTCCGTTTGCTTGAGCGGCATCTGTCACTGGGCAGGCTTGTGGACTTAGTGCTGGACAAGCCCTGGTAGTACTGGTCATCATTGTCCAACCTTTTGGGGCTGGTGGGTGCATAGGAAAAGATGAATTTGTAACTAAAAGCTTCTTGTGAGGATCAGATCAAAACCTAAGCCTGTTCCTTCAGAAGACTCGGAATAGTCATGGCAAACATATTCCTGTTTACAATGCTGTATTTGTAATTCCTTGTTACATAAATCCCCCTCCTCGCCTTTAGCCAAAGCTTATCGCTCCCGATCATAAATAACATCTATTTTGTCATAACAGGCTGCTATTAATGTGTGGCCATTATGCCGTATTGAGTGCATTTCATGGCTGTTCTGCAGTATGTAAGCGACGGTCTTCAGGATTTATGACTGGCTTTTCGGCAGTGACTCAAATGGAAATGTTCTTTCAGTGGACTTTAACTCACTGTCTCAGGGCTTATCAGAAGCATTATGTAATGAAAACAGCCATCTATGAAACCAGCGAAGATAAGAGCCTACAGCCTGCCAGCAAGACCGCTGATGCAATTATATCAGTCAGCCCCACTGGCCTACTGATGCACTTCCAAACAAACAGAAAATAAATAAATAAACACAATTATTATTTTAATTCTATTTTTATTATACTATTGTTATTTAATAACATTTTATTTTTATAATAATATTGTAATTCAAATAATAAAGTATTAAAATAAAATATATTAATATGAAATTATATATATATATTGCATATTTTTGTCATAAAGAAAATAATAATAACAATAATAATAATCATCATCATTATAATAACCAAATATAAGCTTTTTTTCTAAATTGTAGTAATATTTGTTGTTCTGAATTTATGCTATTTCTTTTTTTTTTTTAATAAAGAACCACATCTGAATATGGAGAATTTGTGTAGAAAATGTCATCAAATGAATGTCAAAATGGCAAAAATAAAACATTAATATTAAAATATAAATATAATATTTTTGTATTACTATAAAAGGGTATTAAACATAATAATAATAATACTAATTTAATACTTTATGATATGATATGTAAAACAATAAAGTATTTAAGTGCTTGGAATACACACACACACACACACGCATATGACCACATCTGTGTAAGGATAATTTGTGTGGGAAACGTCATAAGTTTAATGTCAAAAAACCAAAAATAATGTATTTATAGAAAATATACTGTATATAAAAATACTTCTATATATTTATAAAAAAAAAATGTAATAATCTAATTCTTATTATTAAGATGAAGAATGTGTATGAAAAACTTGAAATTAATGCCAAAATGGAACAATCCTTATTTTCTCCAAGCAGAATACAAGTTATTTTTGTTTTCTTTAGATTTTGAGGTAACATGTGACTTGGGCATGGTTTTGAGGGATTCATTCATGTGGCAAAACAGAGTGTTTTGCTTCATCTGTTTGCTTTGTCTCTCTAGTTCTGCACATTTGTACTGCAGTACACCTTCATTAACTGCATGTCCTCAGCTCGCCCTTTTTTCTCCCAAGATACCTTATTGGTCCCCTATCTCTCACTCTGCTTTCTCTCTTTCCACAGCCAATCTCTTCCTCTATTTCTCTCTGACAGAACATGGGCCAGTTATCAGACAGAGCTAGAGGTTTGTCTGTCCTACTGACCTATCCGCGTCATCGTGCCTGGAGCTGATCCGTGCTGGTCGCTGAGGAAATACATCAAATACATCAATACGCACTGTGGATCGCCGGATCGGCTTTCATCCTTGAACGAAGCAGAGTCCAGCCCGGGGTCATCACATGTGGTTGCCACAAGCCCGCCGGCCACACCGTTCTCAAGCCCGCCCGCCTCCACTCACTCAAGCCCACCTGCCGACGCTCACTCAAGCAGGCCTCCGCTCACTCTAGGCCGCCGGCCTCCGCTCACTCAAGGCCGTGGTGTGTGACGCTGTTTCGTTGTGAAAGCGAAACTACTTTGTATGGCCTTCCAAAAGAGGACACGACTAAAAATCAGTGGTTAAGTTGTATTTACAACACTGTTCCAGAACAGTTTAACCTGTTCTGACTCACAGACTGTAAGTACATTCTTTATGAGAATTCATCCACTGACGATTCAAACGCAAGTTTTGAGCAGCGTAGAGTAGCTCTTGTTATTTGTCATTTCTCTGATCACAAATGCAGACATGGTTTTATGTTTACACGGCGCGATGCAACGCAACGCGTAAAGAGTCAGTATAAGTCATTATAATCCGTAATTATGTCCCCACTGGATGCAACAAATGTCTCGTTCATAATGGGTTTTAATGTTTTTGTCTCGTCGCTCCGGACAGGGCATCACAGTATAGTAAGGGTCGTAACATTTCCGTCACACGCTTGAGGTTTTCGGCCAATCACAACGCACTGGATTGCTGGCCAATCAGAGCACACCTCACTTTTCAGACCGATGAGCTTTGTAAAAATCGACGCGTTTCAGAAAGGCGGGGCATAGAGGAGAAACAATAATGTACAGTATGTGGAAAATAATGTTTTTTTTTTTACCTTAAACCGCATAAACACATTTCATTACACCAAATACACAAAATAATGTTCTTTTTAGCAACATCATATGACCTCTTTAAGATTTGAACCTATTAAAAGGTGGACTGGAGACAACACTGATACAATTTTTAAATTCATGTGTGTGTTAGGATTTAGCTTTATATCCAATGTTGGCAGATTTTTATGGGCTATGTTAGGAGCAGAATAGTGTAATACCACCTGTATTATTTTTAAGGTTTTTGTACTGTGCAAGTATGCAAATGTTCATACCCATGAAGGCATATTACATTTCTAATTTGTACACAACATAGAATATCTTATCTCACTATGCATAGCTTGATAACTATGCAAGACCTGTGTTTGATTTGATTGTTAACATCTCTCTTTTGCCTCTTTATCAGTTCAGACCCCCCAAAATAAAGACAATGGATTTCTGGATTATACAAAAATAAATGTAAAAGTACAAAAATAAAATGTGAAATGCAAAGTTTACACTATATCATTCAAACATTTGGGGTCAGATTTCTTATTTTATTTTTTAAGAAATTAAAACTTCTTTAGCAAGGATGCATTAAACTGATCAAAAATGAGAGTGAATACTTTTACATTGTTACAAAAATTATATTTTAAAAAATACTGTTCTTTTGAAATTTCTAATCATCAAAATGTCCTGAAATATTGCATCACGGTTTCCACAAAAAAAATATTAAGCAGAACAATTACTATATTAAGAAATGCTTCTTGAGCACCAAATCAGCATTTGTGACCCTGGACCACAAAACCAGTCTTAAGTGTCAATTTTTCAAAATTGAGATTTATACAACATCTGAAAGCGGAATACATACGCTTTTCATTGATGTATGGTTTGTTAGGATAGGACAATATTTGGCCGAGATACAACTATTTGAAAATCTGAAATCTGAGGGTGCAAAAAAAATTAAAATATTGAGAAAATCGCTTTTAAAGTTTTCCAAATAAAGTCCTTAGCAATGCATGTTACTAATCAAAAATTAAGTTTTGATATATATTTAGAGCAGGAAATTTTCAAAAAAGATATTTTATCATGATGATTTTTGGCATAAAAGAAAAATCTATAATTTTGACCCATACAATGTATTTCTGGATATTGCTACAAATATACCCCAGCGAATGGTTTTGTGCTCCAGGGTCACATATTAGAATAATCATGTGACACTGAAGACTGGAGTAATGATGCTGAAAATTAAGCTTTGCCATCACAAGAATCATTTACTTTTTAAAATATATTACAATAGAAAACAGTTATTTTAAGTTGTAATAATATTTTGGAATATTACTGTTTTAATCAAATACATGCAGCCTTGGTGAGCATACGAAAGTGTAAGGTTGAACGGTTGCATTTTTGAGACAATACATAACCTGTGAAATAAATAGGGTACAATTTCATAGCAAACCATATACTGTTTTCAAATACTAGTGTGTCATATGCAATGTGTGGTAGTATTCCATTCCAAACACAGCTTTTGTCATTCTGTCTGCAAAGCAGCTACATGAGAGGGCACATTTTTGTTTAGTATAACATGTCTTCTAATTGATTTACCTTTGTTTTCTTGGCCTCCTTTTATCGTCCTGGACAGACCTCTGGAAAAGACCCGGCATGAGAAATATCATTAAAGCTGAAGCCCAGAAAATCCTTAGATAGAGTGAGTGTGATGCTGACTCACGTGAATGAGTGTGTAGTATGTGGAGTCCTCTGGTGTGTTCAGGGTCTTTGGCTGTTGTGTGCGGCGAGATGTTCGTGACTGCTTTGTGTCGGCTGTGGATCAGAAAAATAAAAGGTGAAAAACAACAGGAAAAAACAATCAACATATAAATGGTGCATCGTGATATTTGACCTTGAATCCAATACTTTTAATCCCATTCAAGATGTGTTCTTATGCAAAGAGAATATAACAAATAGATCCCTTGTGGGGAGCACCATTGCTACACACAAAAGAATAGGATCAGCACACAACATCCAGCTGACCTTTGACCCGTTTGTTCTTATCGAACAAACCATACGGCATGGTTTAACCCTTGGGCCTCGTCATTTGTAATTATCCGCTAACAGTTAATCAGAAATGCCCTACCAGTGAAAGCATGTTCCTATACTGACACAGACATGAAAAAGTAAGAATGAGCATGAAGCTCTGTTCTAAACCCTAGCAGGGGTGCCGCTGTGGTTTCTGGGCCCCCTGAACAGCATATACCCTCAGTAAAAATTGTGTTCCGGGCACCTTCTCCCTCGTCGGGCCCATGGAATTGTCTTATTACTAAAGTCTCATTACTAAAGGAAATACATTTATAATTACTTTCATTTATCTTCCTTCGTCCACCATCAACTCATCAAAAAATATTCAGATCAAATTTTTGTAATATGATATGTATTTGAATTGCATATACAATTTCCATCCAATTGGATTACAGTTTTAAAATAAACAAACGAATGAATTTTTGTCAGTCATATAAAAACTGTTAAAATTTCTGTACTTAAAAAAAAAAATCATGGTTTATTATTAACTATTTGCATATATTTGATTTTCATTAAATCATAATTCATAAATAATATTTTCAGAATGCATTCAATCAAATTACTTAAAATCAGCACACATATTTCCATTGTGAGAACAATTCAAGTTATTCAGTTTATACTTATTAACTGAATACATTTAATTGTTTTCACAATGGAAATGAGGTTGGCGATGAGGTTAAAATATGAATAAGTGAATACATAATATGCATAAATCTTAAATTTAGGCCTAAATATTTTTATATGCACCTATGATGTCTAAAAAGAATTGGTAGCACCATTTTAGTCCTGTTTCACGTGCACATACTATATACTTATTACAGTAATTACAATAACTGGGTAATATTATGTAAGTACTAACCCCTAAGCTACCACTAAAACTAAACTTAACCCATGTAGTTACCTTATGTTACCAGTACTTTCTTAGTAAGTACACTTTAAATACAAGTGCAACCTCAAAAAAATGTAATGCTCAAAAAAGAGTGTTACCTGGAATGCCTTTGATACAGAATACTTCTTTGTCAAATATGATTTTTGGTTTATTGACCTTTGGTTTATTTGAATAATATCTGCTAACTCAAGCACTGTTGATCATGTAGAAAGGTCCAGTGTAAAGAAAATTTATTACTGTCCACCAGGACCAGAGGGTACGGCTGGAGAGTTGGTCATATTTATTGAATGTGTCTCTTGAAAGGTCATCAGCAATTCTTGATTGCTCAGAGGTATAAAGCCAATTTGCAGCTCTTATATTAATGCTTGCTGTAATTGCTGGGGCACTTTTGCATGCAATGCGATTAGCATTTAAAGACCTTTCATGTACATGGAAATGTGACTGGCATTCACTTCTTATTGTATGTGGAAACAATAATAATTGTTCCCACACAGAAAGACTCTGGTTAAGATGATTTATTATGACTTTGGAGCTTCCAAAGACATTTTACAATGACAATAAACCATTAATAAACATGTGACAGATGACAGCAAATGTAATCCCTTTAGCAAGATTTTGTAGAAGTTCAGCTTTCACAGATGAGATTAATGTGACAGAAGAAAACAGATCAGGAGGTCATATCTGTCAACACGGAAACCATAATCGCTGCTGACAGAATAATCTGATTTAATTTAGACACAAGGTGCATATCAGGAATAATAGAATCTGCGAGAATTACCCTTCCAAATGTAATTAGACATATCGCAACAAAAATCAAATGAAAAGCAGATCTTCTCAGCTGGGGGAATTTTTATGATGACACATCTTGTTGAGCCCAATTTGCATGTTGTGGCACTAAACATTCAATTTTTGATAAGATCAGTACTGTCAAATTGACAGCAAAAAAGTACACTGCAGGAGTTTAATTAAGGTAGAGTTTTCTTACTACAACCTATTTTAATCTTAAAAACAGCTATATTAATCCAACTTTGAAAATAACCAAAGCTACCCTTTAGCATACAGCAAAAAAAAAATAAAAATCTATAATACTAAATAACTCATTAGAGTTAAATTATAATTCAAGTACTTCACATATGCTTAGTCAGGACATCAACATAAGCGTGCTTCTTAAAAGCATGACAAAAGATTATTTAAAATGTACTTTAAAGTACAACTTTTAATATGACATTTCAAAGTGCACTTTTTAAAAGCATACTGAAGTGTCAACAAACATGGGGGGAGAACGATTGAAATGACAAAGACTTCAGACATGAATGGACATAATTCATAAAGGACATTTACCTGGTGGCTGGTAACAGCCCATGTAGCCATTCATAGGTTGTCCTTTCACAAACATTCCATTTTTGCTGGGGTTGAGCTGATGGGCAAGGATGATTTCATTTAACTTCTTCTGCAGTGATAAGTAATCTTCAGAGGCATTGGTTACCTGAGCAGGTTATAAAAAATGTCATCAACTGAATTTTGTGTAAAAACCTTACAATTCATGAGGCAAAGAATGCATATCTTAAAGGGATCCTATTATGCTATTTTATAAAGTCTTGATTTTGTTTTGGGGGTGTACTAGATACTAGGTCTCATACTAGGTTGTTCGAAAAACATTATTTTTCACATATTTTACATTATTACAACACCTCACTCTGCAATCTGGCATGAATGGCTCAAATAGTTCCTGTATAAAATGAAGGCCCGCTTTCTGAAATACGAAATGTGCTGCGATTGGTTAGCTGGGCCAGTGTGTGTTGTGATTGGCAGCACTCTGCGCCTGGTCGGGAAATGTCATGCCCCTTACCATAGCCGTCTGCGAGCTTCAGTGTAAATATTGCATCAAAATCAAATAAATTTGAGCATGATTTAAACCCGGATGATTGTAACCACTCTAAGTTTGTCTGCCTTGGGAAAGCTAGCGTGTTTCCTTCTTAGTGATAACACTCCCTGCCTTCTCTAATGCAGCTCAACCAGGTCTCGCCCCATTCGTCGGTATTTGTGAGATCACAAATCCCGGAAAATATGTGTTGTAGTCCAAACGAGTCATTCGTTGTAGGTTTTGAAAAGTGATTTCTGTTAAATAAAATATCTCCTTTTGAATTAGACTTTGAGCTCTTTAACTTCACAGATCTTTTTTATGCTCAATCAGCAAAACTACAGACTAACTTGAAACAAGTGACTAAGTTGAAAAAGTGAAAAAGCATAATAGGACCCCTTTAAATCAAATCTCATGCTATGATGCTACTCTTTGACAGATTAGTCCATTGAAAAATAAAAGGTCATCATTTACACTCCTTCATATCTATTCATAGACATTCTTTTATTAACCAAACACAAAAGGGCAGAATTTGGCAGAATGTTCATGCTGCTCTGTTCCATACAGTACAAAGAAAATTACAAAAAAAAAGCATCACAATAGTGGCCAACCAATACAACTCTTTTTAATTTTTGGAGAATCTAAATTTCACCTTTTATGTTCCACAGAAGAAATAAAGGTTTGGATTGATAATCCGGGTGATTAAATGATGACAGATTTGTCATTTGTGGGTAAACCTACACAAAAACAAAAAAAAAATGAATCACCTGTTTGAAGAGCGATTCCACTTCCTCATCCTGTTTTTGTGATTTTTCTTTCAGGTTCTTTCTGTCTTTGTAACCTCTAAAATTGCTCTGCATTTTAATGGCTGCCTGCTCCTCATCATATTGGGCTTCCTCAGTCTGAGAATCCTCCTCTTCTTCTACCCCCTTCCGTTCCAGCTGAACATCTGTGATGTCCAGAGCTCCCTCATTCTCCTGCTCCTCCGCCTCTTGTGCCATTTCTTGTTCTTTTCCAATGGCTCCTTCTCTCTCTGCTCTAAATCTCTTTCTCTCCTGGTGCCCTCTGAAATTGCTCTGTAAAACAGTTGCAGCATGTTCTTCATCTGTCCCTGGAGACTGACTGTCTTGCTCGAATTCTAATGGAGGTGGTGGAAGTTCCTCAAGAGAAATGTCTAGTTCTGAAGCATCTGGATTAGCCATTTCTTCATTTGTCTTTTTCTTGGGGATTTTGCCTTCCTCCTGGAGTCTTCTACGCTCTTTGTGGCCACGGAAGTTGCTCTGAAGAACCACAGCGGCTTTGGCTTCTTCATCTTCTCCTGGTGGTTGAGCTGGAGTCTCATCTTCCTGTTCCATTTCCTCAGTGAATTCCATCAGTTTTTCTGGAGGTGGTGGATCTGGAATAGGAAGCTCCTCATCAACTGGAGGACTCTTTGTCTCCTTCCCTCTAACCGGCATCTTCCCCTCCTCTTGGAGTCTTTTACGTTCTTCATGACCTCTGAAGTTGCTCTGGATAACAGTGGCTGCCTTGGTTTCCTGTTCATTGTTCTCATCTCCTCCACTCGCTGCCTCTTCCTCAGCCTCCTTCCCTTCTTCCTCTATATTCTCCTGTACTTCCTCTTGTATAACATCCCAATTTTCTCCAGAAGTGGCTTCTTCAGGGGTGGATGAGGAAACGGCCAGCTCTTCCCCGGTCAAGGTCTTATTCCGTTCCCGACGCTCCTTGTATTTCTTCCTTTCTCTGTAACCTCGGTAGTTGCTCTGGAGGACCACAGCGGCGTTTTCATCAGCATCATCCATTACCACTGCACCTCCTTCCTGTGGAGGTTCCTCTGAAACTGGACCTTCTGATTCTGATGGGGCCTCCGCCACTTCTTCCGTCTTCTCAGCTTTTTCCTTCTGCATGGATTCCCTGTGTAAAATTATTCAGTTTATACCAACATAGCACTGTTGACTTCTTGATTCTATGTGTACCTTGCTCTGACTGGTCAATTGCAGCATTAAGCACTCTAAGATTTCAGTATATTCATCCATTCACCTTCCAAACCACTTGTCAAATATACGGTTGCTGGGATGCTGGAGATCATCCCAGGGAAACACCCTGGTTGGGTGGCTAGTCCACTACATGCAGATGGATACACCTTCACACCTATGGAAAATGTAATGTCTCCAATTCACCTATCCTGCATGCATTGCATGGATTGTCGGGGAAACCAGAGCACCCCAGGATGTGGGAAAAAGCTACCCTAACTCAGCCAGGACTTAAACCAATTACCTTCATGACCCTTCAAGGTTGTTCAATATCCCAGTGTTACTGGTGTATCTTGTATCACGTTACACCTTCTCCCTTTTCATACCAACACAAGTTGTAATAGCTGTTGTAACTAATCTTGCAAATTTGGAAAAAATGGTCTTGCAGGACTTTAGTATTAATGTTATGGTCAGCATATACTTTTGTTATGCTAGATTTAAACCAAGAAAATAAAGACAACTCTTGGAAAAACAAGGAACCAGTAGGACAAAGTGCTTGATGATGGAGAATTTAAAATGGTCTCTAATTGATGGACCTTTGATTGAAAATTATGGATTTTATTTCTAAAATAATCTACAAGTAAGAAGATAAAATCATCTAGAAGAAGAACAGGTCTTACTTTTTCCTCTTGAAGCTTTTCCTCTCTTTGTGTCCCCTGTAATGGGCCTGGATCTTTGCAGCAGCTTTGATCTTCTCATCTAGTAACTCCTTGTATTTCTGCCTTGCCAGATATCCTCTGCACACTGTATGAAGAGGCCATGATTTAGTGTAAGTCTTTGCCTTCTAAACTCACTTAATACAGTATCCTCCAGTGGTGGAAAGAGTACTGAAAAAATATACTCAAGTAAAAGTACCATTAACTTCCAAAAAATGTAGTGTGAGTAGATTAAAAGTACTTGTCCAAAAAACTACTTGTGTAAGAGTAAAAGAGTAGCCTATTTAAAAGTACTCATGAGTAGTGAGTAGTGAGTACTGAGCTGTGGTTCTACCCCCTCATAATAAACGCTGTACACAGCAATGGATACATTTTAAAAACGTTGTACATTCTGTAATTCACATTATCTTATTTGTCATAAAGAATGAAGAGTATCTATCATCCAGCCGTTTTAATTTTGACTGCCAACACTTTAAAATACACCAAAACAGCACGGAAACAGTATTCAGTTGAAGAAAAGATGAAAGTTATTCTCAGTACAATCATCCCCATTTAAATCATAAAGTTTGAAAAAATAGATTTAAAATCATGTGTAAGGCCACTGTGACAGCCTATGCTGTTGGCACATAAAATATTTTAACAAAAATGCACATTGTTCTAGAAGGATGGCAAATTCATGCCATACCTTTTACACATTTACTCGAATTGTTATGCTGATAATACAATTTGTAAGGAAAAATGCATTAAATAGTGAGGTATTTCTGGTGAAACTTTTTCAAAGGAAAACACACACGCATGTCTCTTTGCTGAGCCGCGGCGGTCTCAGTGAATCAGCAGCATCCACAACTGAACGGAACAAAAAGTGTTGAACTTGAAAATTGTTTTTGTGCAAGTGCACTTGCTAAATAAAGGCGGATTGTATAAAATGGATTAAAAAACCCCGTTTATTAACGAGCTGCAGTTTTATTACATCACGCGCTGGCACAGATGCAGTATGAGGTGCAGATTTGGTCCTCAATTTGTGTTTCCAAATCCAAAGAGATATTCTTTATAAAAGTTCAGAGTCAGCCACACCTACCTAAAACGGCTCGTTCTAACACGCCCCCACATATCTACCTCAGGAAGCGGAGTCCAGTCACATGTGGTTGCCGCTCATTCATCGCATTTCCGGCCTCAGCTCAATCTATCCCGGCCTCAGTGCACGCTAAGCCGGGGCTTCTGCTCATGCTAGGCCGCTGTGTTTTTCGTTGGGAAAGCGAAACTACTTTGTTTGGTCTTCCAAAAGAGGACACGACTAGAAATCAGTGGTTAAGTTGTATTTACAACTCTGTTCCAGAACACTTAATCAGTAATTATGTCCCCACTGGATGCAACAAAGGCCTTGTTTGTAATGAGTTTTAATGTTTTTGCCTCGTCGTTCCGGCCGGGACACGGTATCAACAGTATGTGAGGGGCGTAACATTTCCGTCTCACGCTTGAGGTATTTGGCCAATCACAACACATTGGATAGCTGGCCAATCACAGCACACCTCGCTTTTTCAGACTGACGAGCTTTGTAAAAATCGACGCGTTTCAAAAAGGCGGGGCATAGAGGAGCAACAATAATGTACAGTATGTGGAAAATAATGTGTTTTTTTCACTTTAAACCGCATAAACACATTTCATTACACCAAATATACAAAGTAATGTGCTTTTTAGCAGCATCATATGACCCTTTTAACATATTAAGTTAGAGGAAGACGCGACTGAATTGATGCTTGAAGAATGCACTTCCAGCAGCCATGATAAACAGTTGGCGGTTAAAGTTTTCTATGCATAATTTGATTTGACGAAAGTCACGAGACCTATTACTCTCTATCCAATCACGTTGATGGATAAAAATTAAATTAAAATAAGCATGTACCAACCACAAACAGAGGAAAATAGCAGAGTAAAAGTACCGATACCTCACTTAAAATGTAATTTTGACATCTAGTCAACAGCATGAGCTTACCTGACTGCAACACCACAGCACTTTGTTCTCTCTTTTCCAGCATCAAACGGTATCGTCTGAATGCCAGCAAGCCTCGTACATATGCTTGGACTAGAACAATCCGGTCTGTGGTCTGCCTCACCATCAGATTCAGCTGCTCTGCGTGATAGTACTTAAGAAAGACCTGAACACATAACCATCAGACTTATGAAGTTTGCTGAACAACAACAGCGGTTATTAATGCCTTTCATTCACAAACCTTTGTTTTGCCCAGAGCCCAGTTCTCTAGTTTGACCTTCTCCAAAATAACAGCACATGTCTCTGGATTCATTGGTGGCTCCTCATTGGCTCTAAATGCTAATATAGAGTACCTGAAATAGACCAATGGTTAGTAAAAGGCAACACTAAACATAACAACTGAGAAATTATAGACTAAGGAGTCAATCTCTTTTCCACCAGCAATGTGCGAGTGCCGGTATCGGAAATGGTGGGTCCATTCTATGCATTTCCACAGACAAAAATGTGGTTCTTGCCAGTTTTTGATGGCTGTTACTTTGGATGCTAATATACGTTTTCAAAACTAAGACCAAAGACCATTATTTGAAAAACAGGCCAGTTATGAGACAGGTCCCTTGGCAGAGTATTGGCTCCAGCACTAACATAAACACCATTTAGGTGGAAAAGGGGTTCATGCACATGGATTTACAGTAATACGTAGTATCTCTCCAACCTCTCAATGAAGTTATTGAAGAGAATGCGATGAGAGTAGCCCTGTCTGCGTATCTTAGCTGTCTCTAGAATACCAGTGTAGCGTAGTTGAATCAGAACCTTCTCCCTGTCGAACTTGTGGGCTTGACGATCATTGTTGGGTTTTATGCAACGCACAAATTGAGGCTGGCCTGCCACCATCTTTGATAACAGATCCATTAGAGAATACTGCAAAGTATAGTTGAAAATAAAGCACGACTGTGAACATGAGTCTGATGGTTTTTATTGGTTCTTTTCATTATTATGTCTTCAAAAGTCTTACTCTGAAGTAAGAGGCTACAGTTTGAGTCTTCATGTTGGTGGTCTCTCTTGGGTGATGTGTGATGTCTCCCGTGCTCTCCGCCTTTGCAAACACAAAACATTCAGCATGCTGAAAACTTGTGGTCATAAAAATTGACAGAAGGGATATTGGGGTCTTTTTTATAAACATAAAATTATCTGTTTATAATAAATTTATGCATGTTGCCTCTTGGAGAAAAGTTTTATAACAAAGCCAAAGGTCAGGGTAAACACACAATCACCGTTTGTACAGTGTCAACAGGCAAGGCAAGCATTGTTTTGTCATGGGTGGGAGTTAATTTCCGGGAGGAAGACTGAAAAAGAAATGCATAAAGATTGTGATAAGACAGTCTGATTTGAATCCATAAAAACTATTTAATTCTAATTTGTAAAGGAATAATATTAATTAAATTAACTGCAGGATTTATTAGCAAAGCAATCTAACAAGTATTAATTTATGTGGCACTTTTGCCAAACATCAATAGGGCCAAATTCCTTCTTTAAAACAGCCATGCATATTTCACCAGGTTATATAATCAAGGTGTTTCAACATTGAACAAAGCAGAATCTCACTGACACCGGTGCTTTTATTTTACGTGGGATAAAATGAATGGAATCTTTCATGTGAAATTTTCTAAAGACAGCATGCTTAAATATGCAAACGAATGATAATGTATGCAGGTCTTCATCAAAGACATCAGTTCAATATGTTGAAAAGCCTCACTCATTTCAGAGTGCAAACTGAATGTGAGCTCTAACTAGCTCATGTGTTCTCTTAATAATTCCATAGGGAAAAATAAACTTAATGCAAAAAAAAAAAAAACTTGGAACACAGATGGTTTTTAAAATGCAACTGCACATAAACACATGAAGCCAATTCTCCTTAATTCCACAGGGACACTCAATTCTAATGTGTATTATATGAACTAATCAAGCTGTAAATCAGTCAGTCTACACAAGCATTAGCCATTAGACAGCTGGTAGGGTCACATGAGAAGATAGTCTTTCATTCGCACAAACATGGGTCATTTTCAGGAAATGGTGCCAAGCGTATCTCTCCATGATTACTGATGCAATCAACAGACCTTTGCTGCATTAGCCTATTTGATAGATCTAACTGACTGAACAAAACTATTAACTAACTAATTTTACTAGATAATTGTTTGATTTTCATAAAATAAGTCATTAAAATATGTTTCAAAATATGTTTAGGTATGCTGACATAAGCCCTTTTAACTTCTTTTTGACCAAACTGTGAATTTGTCTTTCAGTCTTTATCAGTATTTCATTGTTTATTGACCTCATCAAACACAACATTTCAATATATTTTCAGTATCTTTTACAGAATCACCCATAATAGTTCCGTTTCTTCACATTTTTGTTATCAGTAATGACCATGAGGTGTTTTGTGTTACACTTTCGGTTATTTAGTTGCTGTTTATTGCATTACTTTAGTGTCATGTGTGTTGCCCTGATGGTGCTTGCTTTGTCTTTGTGCGCAGGTAGAAATATCTCTTTAAAGTAACAGTAGCAAGTTACAACTTTTTGCAGCTTGTGCACCCTCTATATATCACCCTCTATGTAATTCAGGTGTACCAAATGCATTACTACAAATGGTTATCAGTCCATTGGTCTGGTCCTGGTAATTTGGGCCTGAGGTAATAAAAAATATTTCTTGAAAATTCAGAGGTAACTTTTTCAACCTTTTTCTGAGAAAGACCCACATATAGACAGACATACACTGAAAATGTGAGCACAGTGTTGGCTCACAAAAGGCGCCTATCCTCTATGAGCATGTCTCTAATGTACAGCACAAATACTATAGGATCATTACCTCAGTGAATGATACAGTACTGAACAACATAAGACCTTCCAACTTTAGACAGAAGACATTATAGGAAGGTGGAATGGAAAAGTGAATGATGGGTATGGAGTGTGGAGAGACAAAAAGAAATAAGTTCAGTACATTCCAAAAAGTGAAAGTACTGATGCTCCTATCAAAGAAAAACTCATAACCATAAGCCTAACTAACTTATGAATGCCTACATTTATACATCAACACCTAGCAACTTCTTGTTGCTAATTTCACATGCAGTGAGGTTAGCCAATCATAACAGTCATTTACATTTGGAAGTCTTAAATGTACAGTAACAATAACAGAACAATTCAGAGCTGCTAAGAGGACATGGTGATGGAAAAACGTATGAGTTGGGAGGAAAAATTATATTTCAATGCATTGCATTCTCTCCTAAAACTATTGCCTTTCCCTGAGAAACTTTGCATTCACTCACAAAACATTAGCATTCTCTCGCAAACTATTGTGTTCCCTCAATAAACTTTGCATTTGCTCAAAAACATTTGTGATCTCTTCTAAAACTATTGCGTTTCCCTGAGAAATGTTGCGCTTGCTCACAAAACATGTGCCTTCTGTCGAAAAAACGTCCCAGGTTACGTATGTAACCATGGTTCCCCGAGGGGACGAGACGCTGCTTCGGAAAACGCTAGGGGAACGCCTTCAGCGATACCAAGCTCTGAATCATATGTGTAATCAGTCGAACAATGGGCGAGACGTCCGCGGCGGGTGACGTCATGACCAGGAAGCTTTAAAAGCACGTGAGGTGCCGCCGGCGCTAGCTTCTTAGGAGTGAAGCAAGCTCTAGTAGGGATGCTGGAAGTATGGCCTTGCGACGCAGCATCTCGTTCCCTCGGGGAACCATGGTTACATACGTAACCTGGGACGTTCCCCTTCGGGAACTCGAGCTGCGTCGGAAAACGCTAGGGGAACGAGATGTCCACGCCACCAGACTTGCAAATCCCTGCCTGGTGTGAAAGGGCACGGCTATGGCAAGAGAACAGAGGGGCCTGGATTGGCATGCAAATCTAGGTCATAGAACCTGACGAAAGTGAGGGGCGTAGACCATCCTGCAGCGTTGCAGATGTCCTGCATAGGAACTCCTGCCAGAAAGGCCTTGGAGGCCGCCACACTTCTTGTCGAGTGAGCCTTGACCCCCAATGGTGAGGGGAGATCAGAGGACTCATAGGCAACAGTAATGGCATTAACTATCCACCGGCTGAGGGTCTGTTTGGAAGCAGGATGACCTCTCTTATGGGGACCATAGCACACAAGCAGTTGGTCCGCCTTTCTCCACTGGGCAGCTCTGTGGACGTAAGTAATGGACGTAATGCTCGCACTGGACACATACAATTAAGCCTCTGCTGGTCAGGCTCCCTAAAGGGAGGAGGATAAAAAGCCTGGAGTACGACAGGCCGTGGTGTAGAGGAGGGGACCTTAGGGACATACCCTGCACGAGGGTATAAAAAAATTTGGCCAGACCGGGCGCAAGGTCGAGATAGGAAGGAGCCACAGAAAGGGCCTGCAGATCCCCAACTCTCTTTAGAGAAGATACAGCTAAGAGAAACACAGTCTTTAATATAAGAAGACGATCCGATATCTCCTCGATAGGCTCAAAGGGAGGCCTATAGAGAGCTTCTAACACCACAGCGAGGTCCCAAGGAGGGACAAAAGATCGTACCTGAGGCCTCAGCCTCATCACACCGCGAAGGAAACGTGTAACCAGAGGGTCCTTGCCCACCGAGTGACCACCAAGAGGGGCGTGGTAGACCTTCAGGGTGGAGTGGGTTAACCCCGCGGAGAAACGGGCCTGCAGGAACTCCAGCACTGTACCAATCGGGCAGTTAACTGGGTCAAGCAGGC